CCCCTAAATTTCCCTTTCGTACCCCTAAGTTTATTCATTTAGAATTTATTGTAATTTATTATTTTAATGTCAATTGAAGATAGTGAATTTTTATTGAGTACACATTTCAGAGGGATTACATTTTTCATTTCACTTAAACTTTTCACTAACTCTAGTTGTTATTTGTCATTTGGCACCAAAATATAATGACACATTTACATATACATACATATTTAGGTTCGCGTTGGCGTTGCTAACTGAATTGGAAGATATGGTTTAAACTGTTTACATAAATAACGGATTCCCACAAAAAATCCTTTTTGAATTTCCCCTAGGCGCACTTTCTTCCCTTAATATTTGGATTTAGGGGGAAAACATCTGAGCATAAATTCTTGACAGTTCGTAAAGTTTTTTTTATTGCAGATATTCATTGGAAAACTGTGATTTTTGTTCGTCAAAAGGGCGAAGTTATTTTCGATTGCCTACCAGACCCAAACGAGCATCTGTAAGCTGGAGTTATTCTGGCCTATCGCTGAATCCGACGTAGTCCGATTTTCGTGAAATATCGTATGCATTCAAATAGCCCTGATTCGATTCTGTCGTTGTTGGTAGTGTTTATGCAGGTTGCTAAGTAATATATATGTCATATGGAGTCCTTACATATGTCAAAATTATAACTGTCTATCCATTGATCGCGTGGAACTCATTTGGCTACGACTAACCACTATATCTTATGCCGCAGCGAAGTCAAACAGTCTCTCTCCGTTGTCTGAATGCCCGACTATTAGAATAAATGTGCCCTTTCTACCCACCCGGGCATTATAGTCGTGAAGCGCGAATCTGAAGACAAGCGTGGGTCGATGCCCAGGCGCAACCACGAATTACACAGCCCGACCTATTCGCGATATATTCCAGAAATAGTCCTGTATTAGTCACGATATGTTTCTGAAATAGTCTCAAACTGGGCCCGAAATGGGCGTTAAATAGTCATGAAATAGTCCATAAATTGGCCTGGATTGTCATCTGGAAAATCACCTTACAGGCCCTGAAACATTCGAAAAATTCCTAAACTTGTCCCGATATCATCTCGAACAACTATCCCGAAATGTTGCCTTTTTAGACCCAAAATGATTCCGAACTAGACCAAAAGTGCGCCTAAAATGGTACCGAAATGGTTCTGAACTATTCCAAAGTGATCGCGAACTACAACCAGAAATCCTACCGAAATCCTATTGAACTCAACAGGTCCCGGAATGGCCCTAAACTAGTCGTAAGCCATCCACGAAATGGACCTGGACTATTCCAGAAACTCCAGAAGCAATTTTGTTACTCAAACAAAAAAAATGTTCTTCGATATTGCCTTGCAAAAAAATACTGACACTCAGGGGGGTGTACGGCGAACTTTTTTTGTTGACTTCTTCTCTTGAATTTTGTTTCACATTTGGCATTTAGTAGCTTTAACTGTCACGCGTTAGTTGTACAACTACGTTCCACCATTCGACGCACGTGCTTGCCTCAGCACTGTGCCGCTTCTCATCACTTCTATCAACGCCGATTTGTAAATGAACCTTCGCATTCACAGCCACACTCGTTAAATGGCCGTCGTACCCGAGATGCACAATTCACACTTAACTGCACTTCAACTGCAATTACAGCGAGCATTGTTTGTTGGCGTTGTTGATGCCACAGCTGCTGGCAACCTTTTGAACTTCCTTGCCTTGTCGCTCTATCCACCGCACCACCGCGTCACCACCACCGCTCTCTCCTCAACGCTTCACTGCATTTTCCGCTCTTATTTACATTTGCGGCCACTGGTTGTTTGCTCGTTTTTTTATGTTGCACTTTTCATTTTCATAGCCAACATTTGGTGCTGATAGCAGCTACGAACTTCGTGCTTTTTCCATTGACAATGTTGTTGTTGTCGTTGCTGTTACTGTTATTATGCGATTTGTTTTGGTCATTGTACTACAACTACCGTTCACTTCCAACTACGACTAATACCTCCGTACTCCAAGCTCCCAAAATCGCTTTGTTGTTGTTGTATTTTTTGTTGTATTGGTTAGCTTTAGTATGGCTACTATGCGTATACGTGTACACTAATAGATAGATAGACATGGCGCTTGTTTGCCTATTTAGGTAACGTTATTCCAGCTGATATTGGGTTTTGTTGTTGTTATTGTTTTTGTTGTTGGTGTTGCGGTATGCGAATTGTTGCAAATGCGGTCGAGCGGTGTGTCGGCTGGTTGATCGGTCGGTCGGTCGGTTGGTCGGTTCGTGGTCTGCATGCGCAAGTAATTTGCTTGCTATCAATAATTATACATATATACACACACACCTCTGCCGTTTGCCATACAATCAAACACATCGGTGAAACCAACAACAAACGCACTTACTGACATTATGCAAAAAGAAGCAAATACCACAAGGGCAGTGCCGCAGCAATTGGTTGCGGTCGGAATCATACCGACATATTTACAAATGTACGTTTGTATATGTAAATGCATAGGCGGGTCACAGCGGTAGAGGGCAATGAGTTTCTGCATTTGAAAGCAAAAGCAGCCACGCATGCACACATGCGCACACAATCTGCATACAAATGAATTAGTGAAACAAATACTGCATTGTGATGTGGCTAAGCGTCACTGTGGGTTTGGATGCGGTGAGCCTTGGGTAAAAGCGCGATTTAGCAAGTAAGTTGACTGGGTTACGCTTGAAACTTGTTCGTGCAGAAGTATCGCATCGCTGGCTTGGCCCTTTCTACGCGAGCTACTTAGGCTGGGGCTACATGCATACGGTATATCAAAAGGTTTTGGAGAATGATCAGAGTTACTGATATACCCAAGGCTGGCCAGGCTGCCAGAGCTTTCAGACTTTTGAGTATCTCATCGTTTCTTTCAAATACCCTTACGAGAATACTACTACTGCCTATGAAACCAAAATATGTTAACCTGTTACACCGATGGCCTATTGACTGAAGAGTATACCGGAAAGGGTTTTGTTGGACCGAGGTTCATACAACTTACGGATTATTGCCTACATCGGCTTGTCCCTCAATCGTTGTCGTGAAGCTCAACTAATGCGCTACCCAGGAAGTGTGCAACTCCGACTGGGTTAGTCCATGGAGACAAGAGTGTTAGTTGAGTGGGATTTAGGGGGCATGCGAAGAAGTTTCGCGAATCGTGAGGTGACTCTCCGCATGCCGGCCACTCGTGGGATACATCTGCATCGATCCTGAGCAGGTAAGAGTTTAGACTGCTGCAGTAGCCAAAGCGAAGTTGGGCTATGGTGGTGCGCTGGACGAAAACCTTGGTATGCGGTCTTTCTGGCCGTGAGTGGATCTGAGACAATGTAAGAAGCCCTAAAAGCTAAACAAGACGAATCTCTCGTTTAGAGTGTTAGACTTTACTCAAAACCTCACTACAATAGCTTTATTGAAGACGATGAGAGCAGTGAAATATTTATGCGTTTAAAATATCTGGTTTTCGGGATTTTCGAAAACTTTGTAAGATTTTCTCGGCATTTTTTTCGAACTTCTTATGAGCTCCTAGGATTTTTGTGATACTCGTCGGATTCCTACAGGACTTTTTGGGAATCTGATGGGTTTTTCGGAACTTTGCCAAAGCTTTCAGGAGTTTTGCGGACTTTTTCGAAATTTTCAGGACTTTTCGAGATTGTTTGTTTTTCATCTTTGGGGATTTTCCGGGAATTTTCGGGATTATTTCGCATTTTACACCAAGTGTTTTATTTTTCCGAAATTTCGGGATTTTCCCGGTTTTTATCTTTAGGCATTTTCCGGTACTTTTCGGGATTATTTCGCTATTTTCAAAGCTTTTCAGGAGATTTTTTAGTTTTGAAGTTTTCGAGACTTTGACGAATTCTTTCAGGGCTTTTCGGAATGCTTGGTTTTTTATTTTTTATGATATTTCGTGATTGTCACGGAGTTTTTCGGGACTTATCCGTACTTTTCGAGATTATTTCGTAATTTTAGAGATTGTTTAGGGAGTTTTTGGCATTCTTCGTGTGTTATTTTTCAGAATTTTCGGAATTTTTCGCGACTTTGCAGGATTTTTTCAGAAGTTTTCGTGATTCTTGGTGTTTTATTATTTTTAGTGAATGCATAAATACTAAGTAATATATATATAATAACTTTTTGTAGCTAAATACATGTGCGGTGTATCACTCTCCAAAAAAAATCTATAATTTTTTAAAATTGGAAATATTAAGTTTAATATATAAAGACTCCGCCCAAAATATTTCGGAAAAATATTAAGATTTAAATTAATTAGACCTATTTGAAAATACCTCCAAAATCGAGTTTGTTATAAATAAAATTAGTTTTTTTTAATATATTGGAAGAGTTTAACACTAGAAATACTTAAAATCGGCATGCCTTAAAAGACGGATATGGGTAATTTGACAAAACTAATTTAAAATTAATTTTAGTAACAAAAAACTTATACATTTAAATTAATATCTGTTTTATTTAAAAAATAAAACAAAACTTAAATTTTCATTTTTATTTTAGGGTCAAAGGATCCCTATCCGCATTTTAAGGTAGTTGAACTATTTACTTAAGTTTTAAATAAGTCAATAAAATCAGAATGCTTTTATATTAAGTATTATACATTTTTTCTATAAGTCACGAAATACCAATTTAAAAAAAAATTAATAATAATTGCAAATAAGAAATTTTGGCCCACCTTTCTAGCGTCAAGCTTTAAGAGTGTGCATAAAAATTGTTTAAAAATTTTATTAACGGATTCAAAATACTTAAATAAATTTTTGAGGGTATTTTCAAATGGATCAGGTAAACCCTTAATATTTTTACCAAATATTTTGGCGGATTCCTTAAAATAGAATACGAGTAAATTTTATAATTCCAGTGGAAAACCCGCAACTTTTTTTTTGTGGTGCACCCTAATGTACATATGTATTTATCTATGCGCCCTAATGCAAATACTTGAAAATTTATTTCTTAAATGAAACTACATAAAAACTTTTTACTTTCTTCTACCTTGCAGTTCGACCCACTGTCTACGCCGAGGGCACAATTAAACCAGTTGTACAACAAGTTACTTTTAGGTGAAGGAAAAAGTTCAAAAAAGGCACAACATTCGCTAGCGACTAAAAACCAACAAGAAGAACGCTACAATAACAACACAACCGCACAAAAAAAAAACACGTTGGTTGGTTGGCTAAACCAGCGATCGAAAAACAAAAGTCGAAATTAAGCGAAACAATAAAATGTCTAACAACTAAATGAAGAAAGAAAAAAGAAAAGATAAATTTTAAACTTACTCTAAGCCAAGGCAAGGCAAGTCATAAGCAGAAAGAAGCCAAAAAGCTAAAAAATAATTGCAAGTGCATAAATGGCAAAAGTAATTGCTGGCGAGTGGACAAAAGATATGCTGTGGAGGGGAATGTTTAGTTAGTAAGGCGACGGCCAAGGAATGGCCGGGGCGGGACGGCTAGTAGAAGAGTGCAAGTTAACAGTGAACGCTTATGTGGACTTGCGACTATAAGCTTTGGGGCTGTGTAGATTTTGTGGTTGCTGTGGCGCAGCGTAGCAGAGGAGCGGAGCCAAAGCTGAGACAACAAACTGGTTTTCCAAGTGGCTTAACAACTTGAACTGACAAACGCGCAAAAAAAACAATAAACAAAAGCAGCAATAATCATAATAATAGTGGCGCAAACTAAGCACCGAGTTAGTACAAGAAGCAAAAACAACAACAAAAACAACAACAAAAATGTCGAAAAACATGAATTACATGAAATGTAAATGAGCGAGGCAGCCAGAAAACTACATACATACATATACATAAATAGTAGATGGGAGTGTTGTGAGAACAACAACAAAAACAAAAGCAAAGAGCTATACAAGCTATACAGCTATACAGCTATACAACTGCAATAAACAACAACCGCAAGCGCAGCTCAATGGCGGCAGCACACCAATCTCAAGCCCCATTGAGGCCGGCCGCAATTCAAAAGCCCAAACAAACACACATCCAAAAGTCAGTTAGTAAGTCATCGAGCGAGTTAGCGTGCGGGCGCGTACAAATGACGCGGCGGCGTAACAACTGAAGTTTGTCAGCTTGGGGGCATACACTGAGGCACTGGGTAGTGCGTCGAATGATGTGAATAAGCGCAACAGCCACTGCAACAACAACAACAACAACACAACAACAAAAAAGAAGATGCAATTATAAAGCCACCTTTTTTTTTTTTTTTTGTAAATAAGTACTTGCATTTAGTTTTGTGTTTCAGGGCATTGAAAGTGAATTACGGCGACAATTGTTGTTGTGTTGAGGCAGTCAAGGCGCCCAGTTGCAAAGTGTTGCTGATGGGCGCAAATTTATGTAAATGCAAAAAAGCAGCACAAATAACCAAAAAAATAAATAAAGAAGTTGCACACACATGCATATATGTATGTATATGTATTTATGTGCGCAGTTGAAAGCAGCGCAGACGAACAAGAATTTTTAATGTAAAAGATGTAAAAGTATTTGGTTGGTGGCGCTTGTGAAAAGCTTTCAAAGTGGGTTTTTAAGTATGCACTTAAAATGAAGTGATAACAACAGCAACAACAACAACAACAACTGCTGTAGCAAAAAGAAAAATAAATAAATAAAAATACAACAATTCTCTGGGAAGCAGCAAGCAACTGTGGCATTTTTACACATGTACTTAAATAAATATAAAAGCAAAAGTGATTTGAGTGCAATATTGAGGTAGAAGGAAAATTATGAAAATAAAGTCATTTTTAAGCAAAAAACAAAACCGACTTCAATTCTCATAAAAAAATTTAAGAGTATCGTTAATTTTTTCATGATCCAATGATCGCGTCGAAAGCAAAATATTATGGGTCCAACTCTGAAGTACCACCTGGTGAATTGTAAAAATCGGTTAACGTGGTCCAAAGTTATGTGGTAACATCCACAAAAAAAAACAAGTAAGAAGGTCTAAGTTCGGGCGGAGCCGAACATTAAATACCCGGCGCAAGTATTAAATATATGTTTTCCACCTTTCCGAAAGCTACCGATACATGATAAGCCGGGGTGTATACATTTTAAGTAAACTAGCGTCCTTAAATTTCGAAATATTGAAATTTCAAGCATATCTGAAATTTACCGTTATATGAAAAGCGGCCTCAATTTTAGTCCGATTTCAACAATTTTCAACGGTTTGCTTTTATGTGGCAAGCACAATAACCATACTGAGTTTGGTACAAATTGGTAGAACGGTTAGCGAGATACATATATGTGATCACAAGTGGGCGGTGCTACGCCCATTTTCAAAAATTTTGTCATAAACGTATTTCTTGGTAAAGAATTGTTGCAATCATCAATTTTGAATAAATTAGCTTCAATATTTACTGATTTATCGAAGATTTTGTATTTCTCGAAATTACCGTTATATGGGATGTGGGCGTGGTTATTGTCCGATTTCAGAAATTTTCGGCCAGTTGGTATGTTGTACCAGGACCAACAACTGTGCCAAGTTTGGAAGAAAATGGTGTAGCGGTTACCAAGATATACACATGTAACCATAAGTGGGCGTGGCTACGCCCATTTGCCAAAATTTTGTAATATTCTTATTTTTCGTCTAAAAATCATTGCAAATATCAATTTTGAGTGAATTATCTTCAGTAGTTACTAAAATATCGCAGTTTTAGTTTTTCTGAAAATTACCGTTATATGGGAGGTAGGCGTGGTTATTATCCGATTTCGCCCATTTTCAATACCATCCGTCCCACGCCCAAAAGAAGTTCACGTACCAAGTTTCGTTAAGATATCTCAATTTTTACTCGAGTTATCGTGTGCACAGACGGACGGACGGACGGACGGACGGACGGACGGACAGACAGTCACCGCTTAATCGATTTCTCTTTTCATTCTGATCATTTATGTATACATTTGTCTATATCTATCTCGATTCGTTTTGCCTGTTACAAACAACCGTTATGTGAACAAAGTTATAATACCCTTGTGCACAAGTGCGCTCGGGTATAAAAAACAAAAAATGAATAAAAAAAATCCGACGAATTGATTACCTCTCCCTTTTTCGATTAATAAATAAAATGCATAAAATGGAATGTTATAAGAAAATATCCGAGCAGCGCAGCAGGCTTAGGTATGCGACTATTTCAAATTAAACGTAACAACATTCTGCGCGTTGGACTACGATTCATTTCATTGAAATGGATTCAAAAATTTTTAATAATTTTTTACTAAAAACTGTAGGCGATATGCGAATATCGATAAATAAAAGTCAAGTTGGGCCAACAAAATTTCTTCATAAGTTCGCTATTTCTTGCTCTAATTGCATTACCATCTGAATAATTTTTAAAATTACGATCCATATTCAAAAATTTATGTTTACCAAACCATATTCAATAGCTAGTAATTTTTAAGCAAAAAGCACAACCCACTTCAATTCTCCCATAAAAACTTAAGAGTACCGTTAATTTCTTCATTTTGCAATGACCCGATCTAATCCAAATTTAGTGTGTGACCACTCTTGAGGTAACATTTTTTTCGAGATGAAGTATCCAAGGGTTTAGAAGATATGGTACCGTATTCTTGTTTTCGGAAGAATCGAAAATTTAAAATTTTTCTATTGAATTTCAAAACAAGATCTTCAAATTTTGGACTCGTACGAAGACAAGAATTCGTCCCAGGATTTTTTTTTAAGTTACATCAAAAACGTAAAAATATGTTTCGCTCGAGCTCAAATGCAAATGAATTACTCAAAGAAAATAAAATTCTTGGTAGACTTACAAAGCGGATATCGCTAGCTTTGAGTGAAAATTTAATAAGTCCACTTTTTATGAAAACTCTTTTTTGATATAGGAAGCAAAAGAAATTAATTGAAATTATTGATTTTTCTGTGCCCTTTTTTGGGCTTACCAAATTTGCCTTCCAAAACTACAAAATCTTTTTATTAGCATTGAACCATTTTGATTCGTATGCTTTACTTTAACTATGTAAAATATTTTATTCGAAGTTTTGCAAAATACTTAAAAGAATGGGTATTAGAAGTTTTTTCGTCTCCAAAATTAATTATAATAAAAAAGGAATTAGCAACTTTTCACTCTAAACTGGCGATAGAGTAAGAAATAGTGATCTTATAAGGAATTTTGTTGACTCAACTTGGCTGTTTTACAGATATGTATTAGCCACGCCCATAATATTTAAAACAAAACTGTGAGCCCATTTCTGTAAGTTTTAATATCAAATTAGGCTGCGTGCAAAATTTGAGCCATATCGAAGACCATCTGCGGACAAACGCCACTTTTTGTTACATTAAATATGAATGCAATCGCCGTATAGTTAAATGCCGGGGCTACAAAAAAAAACAGGTTATTGTCGATTGATAAAAATGTATCTTTTTATAGATGGGACATAAACTGATAAGGTATTAGATACTCGTACATTCTGCTTCACTCAAAGTACAAACTGAAAAAATTTCCGAGGAGGTTGAGAGTAGCTCAGAATGTCAAACTTATGCTCCGTAATGGTCTGATTATGCATACTTCGCATAAATGTCAAACTGTTATTTTGGATGTGGGTCATTCCATACAATATTTATACCTCAATATTTTTTTGGGGGTGAAATATATTTTTTTACATTCTTTATCAAAAAAAAAGCAGACACCTATTTTTTTATTTCGTCATGATATTCGAAGATTTGGAAAAAAAAATTCCCGAAATTTTGAGCTCACGGGGAAGTATCTTTTTTTAATTGTTTGCAGTTAATAAACTATTTGTCGGAGAAAATCAGTTAAGGTATCAAAATGTGAGTAACTACCATGAGAGTGTGAGATAGCTTAAAATAAAAAAAAGTTTGCATTAAAAAATCGATTTTTTTTTTATTTTTTATTTTTTTTATTAACTTCATCATGTTTGATTTTTATTTTTTTCAACCTGAATAGTTGTCAAACTTTATGGAGTAAGCTGTAAAATTTTAAGCTGTAAATTTTGAGAATGGAAACACCAAAACTGTTATGTACGCCATAACTTACCTTCACTTAATTCACCTCACCTCATCTCATCTAAATACACCGCAACTCACCTCAACTCTACTCGCCTCACCATAACTCGCTTTAACTCACCTCACCTCAACTCATCTCACGTCATTTTACCTTAATACACTGCAACTCACCTCTACTTAACTCACCTTGACGAACGTCAACTCAACTTACCTCACCTCAACTCACCGTAACTTACTTCAACTCAGCTCACCTCAACTCACCTCAACTCACCACACTTCAGCCAACTTTTAAAACTTGTCGATGGGAATTTTATCATTCAAGAGCATAAAATCAATGAAAGTGAAACAAAAAATGTTGCAACGAATGTAAAATTACTCTGAATACTACTTACAAAGTAAAAATCATTAAAAAATAAAGAAACATTTGTACTTATGTATGTATGTATGTATGTATGCAAATATGGACTAAAAAGCAAAAAAACAGCGCCAATTCATGCAGCAACAAAAATGTGTAATGAAAACGTCACTTACAAAAAACTTGCAATACAACAACAAAAAGCACTAAAGTTACCAAAACTACAAAAGCGAAAAAACACTTAGCGCATATTGACTCACAAGAACTTTGAAATTTTAATGCAAAAAATCAACTTGCAACTATTTCGTGATAACAACAACAACAAGTGTAGGATGTGTGAGTGTCGCGTTGTGGTGATATTTAGTTTTTGTGATTTTCTAGTTTTACGAATCGCTGCGTTCTGTGGCCCGCTTTTTTGTCGAAGCAGCGGCGTTGGAGTGTCCCACGCAGAATCTAAAAAAAGACCAATAAACAAAATAGTTTCGAAAAGCTACAACAAAACAGCAAAAAAAACATAAAACCAAACAAACAAAACTGCGCCAGCAATACCAGTTGTAACAATAAAAGCTAGCTGTGACAACAACAACAACAGCAACAGTAGCAGCAAAAACGGCAGCCAACATCCCACAGTGACAGCGACAGCTTTGTCAGCAACATTGCAGCTTTTGCAGGCCGGGCAATTGCAAAAGTGATGAAGTGTCTGAAAAATAAAAATAAAACAAATAAAAAATTTGAATAGAAAATAAAAATACAACAACAAAAAACGAAACAAATTTTAATTTTAATAGAAACAGCAAAAACAACAAAGCAACCGATTCCAAAAAGCAACAGAAAAAAATTTATATAAAAAAACTAAAAACAACAACAACAAACCAAAACGGTTACAGCACAGCTGCGACGTTCATCAAACAAATCGTGTGGCTGCTAGCCACTTCCAGCAACAAAAATAAAACTACCAACTTGACCATGTCACCGCTTGTCAGTAAACTCAGCAAGACTTTCCGTTGGATCCGTTGGTCCACCATTATTGCCATACTCTTCTATATGTTCTTCATTGGGCTAATATTGCACGGCACCACCTATAAACTGCACTACACACTCAAATCGGTGGGGAGTAGTAGCAGCAGCAGTACAGAGTTGCATGGTCCTGACGTCCGACCAGCGCAACATCAACAACAACA